TTAAGGTCTTAATTACATATACCTTCCTTGACTTTCCTTGTCACCCGTTTGCCACATTACAAAAATGGCGCCCAACGTGGGGCCTGCTTATTTCGATGGGTTATGTACGAAATGTGGATTTCATGGTCGAGATAGCAAGTCTCATTCAAGGGGAGGTGCAATAAATCGGTGTCTCAGATTTATCTCTCCTGTGTAGCAGTATTATCTGTTTGCATAAATTCAATCATATAGACATTTTCATATTAATCGGATTTGAAAAATTAAATTCTAACTTAAGAATTATAAAATTGTAATAAAACTTATTATCCCTTCAGGATTTCGGTATCTGTCGTGAATTGGTACGGATATTTTCGACCGTTTGGATATTTAAATTTAATTTACCTTTTATGACTTTTCCTAAGAATGATGTTTTTTTTAAATACCGGAAATTATTGAATGGAATAGTTCAACAAAGCGTTAAGATAAGATAATTTCTCCTGGAATATTGGTTTTTTGCTGTTTACGGCGAATTCCAATCCGATTAATGATTCTTAGTTTAATGTTTTGATGGTTATTTGATTCAATTAATTTGATTTGCAATAGACCAGTTTTTTTTTATTTTTTTAATATGAACATTATTCCTAACTAATTATTTAAATTTTATCTAAATTAATTTTTATTTAACGAAATCTTCTTCTCGACTACAGATAAGGAAAGTCATTGTATTATTTTGATATAAAATTATAATTTTTGTGATTGGTTTTCCATCATCGATAGAATATCTGAAGAATTGGGTTTCATACTACTATTGAATAGTTTCATAATAAGTAGTTCTGAAAATCAAATTTTCTGAATTTTAATTGTTTTCGGGTTATTTTCACTGGAAAATAGGAAAATGATTTTATATTAAGTGGCATGTTTCTAAATTCTTTGATTTTTTTTTGAGTTTGAAATTTTAAATTTTATAAATAGATAGAAATTTTCTTTCAAAATGGCGGTTATGCGAAGCAACGAGGACATTCCTCTAGCTACCGAAACTTCTTTAGGATTAGGATGTTCTTTATGCGAAAAGGATATGGTAAACGTAAGCCTTTGTGTTTCAACTAAATGTAAACATTCTTTCCACCGGGAATTCATATCGAAATGGTTAGCTGAAAACAATGAATGCCCAAATTGTGGAAAACTATGCCATGAAAAGGATTTAATTCAGATAGCAACTAAACAAGTAGAAAAGCCGAAATCTACTCTATATCGTGGTAGAGGTCGGGGATCTGCAGTTAAGATTTATGATACAAGATCTAGTAGGTTACATAAGGACAATACTTTAAACGTAGCACCGAAAGTAGGAGAAGCTAATATTACTGATCAGAAATCACAACAGGAAACTAATAACTCGTTAAATGATTTTAATACTTCTCAAAATCCTCATAATATCACACACAATACAACTAATAGGTCTAATCGAAGTAGACAAACGCGAAATAAAAACAATCGCATGGTACATATGATAGAGTCTACGGTACAGCGAATGCTTACTCAGCTTAATGTTAGTCCTTGGCAAGCTCAAAGCCAACAAATTCCACAACAATTACAATTAGAAGCTCAGATTGTACCACCTTCTCCTCAGCAAAATCAGCAAATTAGTTCAGAGTTGAATTCTTCTCCAAGTTTCATTCGAAATGAACAATTACAAAGCCAACCTATAGGTTCAGATTTTGTAGAAAATAGATTGAGAATGAATCCGGATAAAGTAACCACCATAATTCAAAGTTGGAACGTAAAGTTTGATGGGTCGTCAGATGGTCTCTCTTGTGAAGAGTTTTTGTATAGGATCAAGTGTTTAGTAGAAGAAACTTTTAGGGGAAACTTTGATGATAGCGTAGGAAAGAATCTACACGTTTTGATGACTGGCAAAGCTAAAACCTGGTACTGGAGGTACCGTAAAACAGTTTCTAGGATAATATGGGAAAGTTTTTGTGTAGAATTCAAGAAACAGTATAGAGATTTTAGAACTACGTATGATATTAGAGAAGAACTCCATAGTAGAAAGCAAAAACCGTTTGAAACTTTTGAGGTTTTTTATGATGCCATCAACGAAATTATTGATCGTTTAGCAGTTCCCTTAGATGACGAAGAGCTGATAGAAATTATCATTAGAAATCTAAGGCCAGAAATCAAACACGAGTTGCTGTATGTGCAAGTAAGACCGATAGGTCATTTAAAACAACTTTGTCGAAAACGTGAAAAATTGCTAAGCGAAGAATCTTTTCGTCGCAATAACGCTAGCCGATACCCTACAGTAGGTCAACAGCGTAGAGTGGCAGCAATTGAATCCAATAATAGGTACGAGATCGATAACGAAATAGTAGAAAATGTAGAAACTGAATTTGAGATTAATGCTATTGAGGCTAACGCGGACAGACCAGTGAAATGTTGGAATTGTGGAGAGGACGGACATATGTGGGACATGTGTGTTAAAGATAGACAAATTTTTTGTTATGGGTGTAGATTCAAAAACGTATATAAACCACAATGTGTTCGCTGTACGAAGAATCCAAAAAACTACCAGAGTTTATATCACAATCGGTTAGAACCGAAACTGAACTAACTGATAACCATCGTATTCAAATGGAAAATGATAATTTTAATAATGCAAAACCTGAATTTAATAATACAGAGCAAAGGGAAAATATTAAAATCATAAAGAATGATAATAATAGGCTAAGTTTAGATAATAATGCTGAGAATTTATTTGAAATAAGACCTTTTCATGAGAGATTGAGAGATTATGTCAGTGCAAGATTTAGAATTTTCAATCAGAATGGTACAGAAGAGAAATTACGTAAAAGATACAATAGATCTACGGTGCGTATGCGTAATTTCTATAATAAAATTAAACATAATCAACGTTTGCTTGTATCGTCTATTATAAATAATGAACAAGATGGTAGATTATATGTTAAAGTCGAATTTTTGGACAAACATGAATTAGGATTACTGGACACGGGAGCGAATATTTCTTGTATTGGAAAGGATTTAGCTTTAGAAGATTTTACGAAATACCCCGGGTTTAGAAAGACAATTTCAAATGTTCGAACTGCGGATGGTAAAGCTCAAGAGATAATTGGTTTAGTTGAAGTAGAAATGATTTATAATGGGAAAAAGAACAAAATAACACTATTTATTATCCCGACACTTAACCAAAGACTCATATTAGGGCTAGATTTTTGGCATACGTTTGGTTTAATGAATAATATTGTAGCCAGTATAACGTCAAATTCTACAAAAGAGGCAGTCGGAAATGATTCCGAATACTATCCATTAAATGAAGCCCAAAAAAATCAATTGGAATTAGTTAAAACCTTTTTCCCTAGTTTCGAAAGTCAAGGCTTAGGGAGAACAACTCTAATTAAGCATAGGATAGACGTCGGTAATGCCAAACCAGTGAAACAAAGGTATTATCCGGTTTCACCAGCCGTCGAAAAGTTAATGAACGCGGAAGTAGAACGAATGTTGAATCTAGGAGTAATTGAGGAAAGTACTAGTGCTTGCTCCGATGAGACTAGTCATTAAACCGGGAAAGGTTAGGTTATGTCTTGACGCCAGAAAGATAAATGAATTTAAGACCAAAGATTCATATCCTTTGCCAAACATAGGAGGAATATTTGCCCGTTTGCCAAAAGCGAATGTTATTAGTAAGATAGACTTAAAAGATGCGTATTGGCAAATCGCATTGGAAGATGAATCCAAAGCGATAACTGCCTTTTCCAGGAAAACCGCTCTACCAATTTACCGTAATGCCCTTTGGTTTATGCACAGCTCCACAAACAATGTGCCGGTTAATGGACTCCATTATCCCACCGGACCTTAGACATTCGGTATTTGGTTACTTGGACGACGTGTGCGTAGTCTCTGATACTTTTGAGGACCATATTTCCATTCTAATTAGGCTTGCAGATAAGTTCAAAAAAGCAAATTTAACATTGAACATTAACAAAAGCAAATTTTGTGTTAGGAGAGTGCAATATTTAGGCTACATAATAGGTGATGGAGGTATTTCTACTGACCCAGCGAAAATAGAGTCGATAATCAATTGGCCAACCCCGAAAACTCTGAAAGAGGTCAGAGGCTTTCTCGGTTTAACGGGTTGGTACCGAAGGTTTATTGCCAATTTTTCAGATGTTATACATCCTATCACCGAATTGTTATCCCAGAAAAAAAGGTTTGAATGGACTGATGCAGTTAATGATGCTTTTGAGAAAATCAAGTTATTGTTGACAAGTGCTCCAGTGTTGAAGAATCCAGACTTTTCTAAAAAGTTTTTTGTCCATTGCGATGCAAGTGACTTCGGAATAGGAGCTGTACTTGTTCAATTAGGAGAAAATGGAGAAGAAAACCCAATTGCTTATATGTCGAAAAAACTCAACTCAGCTCAACGAAATTATTCCGTAACGGAGAAGGAATGTTTGGCGGCGATAGAAGCAATCAAAAAATTCTGATGTTACCTCGAGCTTCAAGAATTTGAAGTGATAACCGACCACAGTAGCTTATTGTGGCTGATGAAACAACCAAATCTCAAGGGTAGGTTAGCACGTTGGGTTCTGAAACTTCAATATTACAAATTCTGTATTAGCCATAGAAAAAGAAAAGATAATGTTGTTCCCGACGCTCTCAGTAGAATGCACGAAGGTTACATATCGTCTTTGGAAATTATAGGGCCAGAAATCGATCTCGACTCTACTCACTTTTTGGACCAGGAATATTTGGATCTGAAAGGAAAATTTGAGAAAGATAAAAATTTATATCCAGATATTAAGATTGTTGATCGATATATTTATGTGCGTACAAATTTTTCGGTTGGTATTCAAGAAATGGGTTATGGGTTCCCGAAGGGTTAAGAGTGGACCTACTAAAACGATGTCATGATTCTGTTTTAGCTTCTCATGGAGGTATAGCGAAAACTTTGAACCTTATTCGAAGATATTTCTTTTGGCCAAAACTAGCTTCAAATGTAAGAGAATATGTTAATAACTAAAGCTACCAACGTAATTCAAAGACCGGAAATGGGCAAAATGAGTTTATCTGAAAGACCTTTTCAGCGGATTTATGTGGACATTCTAGGTCCATATCCGAGAAGAAAAAAGGGTTATATAGGACTGTTTATAGTACTCGACCACTTTTCGAAATACCATTGGCTTTGCCTCCTAAAAAAGTTTACTGCTTCAGTGATAATAGAATTCCTCGAAAAGCAAATTTTCCATCACTATGGTGTGTCAGAGGTGGTTATAAGTGACAACGGCAGTCAATTTCGTAGCAATGAATTCAATGCTTTTCTGACAAAATATGAAATTCATCACACATACACAGCATTGTACTCACCACAAAGTAATGCCGCAGAAAGGGTCAACAGATCTATAATTGCTGCAATTCGGGCTTACTTGAAGAAGGATCACCGTGAGTGGGACGAGAATATTTCGTCAATAAGTTGCGCTCTTCGAAATGCTATACACAGCTCTATAGGAATGTCACCTTATCATGCCTTATATGGTTTTGACATGATAACTCATGCCACATCGTATAAATTGCTCAGAGATATACAATCTTTAGAAGAAGCCGATGTTAAGATAAAAAGAGATGACAAGTTAGCTTTACTTCGAGATACAATACCGCAAAGTATCAAAAAAGCTTATGATGTGAATGTAAGACAATATAATTTAAGAACAAGAACGATAAATTTCAAGGTAGGACAAGAAGTATTTCGGAAAAATTTTGCTCAAAGTAAGGCAGATCAGAAATTTAACGCCAAGCTTAGTCCTTTATACATTAGGGCCAGAGTGAAGGACAAGATGGGAAATTGTTATTATGTTCTTGAGGACATAGATGGAAAAGGTGTGGGTACATACCACGCTAAGGACATGAAACCATAATCTGTTACAATTGTTTATAATTTTACCATTACTTGTATTAGATATATTGGAAATTGTTGTTGTCTTATCATTTAAATGTATAATTTTTCTCTCTATATTAGGATTGGTTTTTTTTTTTTAAAAACAAAGATTTATTAAAATTTGTTACTATTTTTTTACTAAATTGGTTTTAATTTCTCCATTAGGGATAATGATAATATATTAATGGGTTTTACTTGCAGGTTAAAGAGTTTATTACTAATGTGAAATTGTAATAGAAAATTTTTGCTTATTTTTGTTATTAAATACTGCCAAAACAAAGCTCTAATCTCCAGTTCGATTTTATTATTTCCGGCTAATTTCTTACGATAACTCTAAAAATTATCCGGTTTTGTAATAAAAACCTACAGGTTTTATGCTAATTATACCCTACACCACTTTAGTGGGGAGGGTATATTGGATTTGTGCTGATGTTTGTAACATACAAAAATATTCGTCCTAGACCCACCTTAAAGTATACCAATCGGCTTAGAATCGTTTTCTGAGTCGATTAAGCTATGTCCGTCCGTCCGTCCGTCTGGCTGGCTTTCTGGCTGGCTGGCTATCCATGTAAACCTTGTGCGCAAGGTACAGGTCGCAATTTTCAAGATAATGGGATGAAATTTGGCACGCAGGTTTTATTTGACCTAAGGACGAAGCCTATTGAAAATGGTTAAAATCGGTCCATTATTTCACCTAGCCCCCATACAACAGAACCCCCCGAAGAGGGCTTCTGAGCTCATAATTATGTTAAATATACAGATATATCGATAAAATACGGCACAACTAAATTTTATAGAAGTCTTGATGACAGTGCCAAATTTCATAAAGATCGGGCCACATTTGACCCTAGCTCCCATACAAAGTCCCCTTCAGAAAATTACTTGAATGTCCCAAATTAGCTTATAAACACAAATATCGCGATGAAATTCAGCACAATAAAATATTATGTCAATATAAATATATTCACAAAATTTTTTCGGGCTTGGTCCATATTTGCCCCTAGCCCCCATATAAAGCCTCTTTCAGAAAATTAGTTTTTCATCCATAAATTGCTTAAATGTATCGGAACAAGGGAATATTGAAGATAAATGCTTTATTATGAAAAATAAATCACATTTAATATTCATAACTGGTGTAGGGCATCATATGGTCGGCCACGCCCGACTATAATTTCTTACTTGTTTTTGTTTAGATTCGTTAGGAAAAATTTTGTTCAATCCATTTGGGTTTTTTTTATGAAAATATTTTAAAATTTTAATGTTAGTAATTGTATCTTTCTATTGTATCAAGATCGCTGATATTTGTTGAAATTTTAATAAGGAAAAGAAATATTTGTTAACTGAAAAGTTCAAAAGCTACATTGTATTAGTAGTTTGGTTTAAATTTAACGCTAGATTGTTTTATTCTTTAACTCGTCGAATTTCGTAATGAACAATGGAGCCAAGTTAAGTAGCAAGTATCTAGGGTGATCATATGGGAATGACAATTACAAAATGTCATTCTGTTGCTAAGCAAAATTTTCAACAGGTCTATGTAGTAGCTTTTAAAGGAAATTAACTTCCTTTCCGTTTGTAATTGGAGTGATATCAACAACTTACCTCGCAGCAACTTAACTTTCTTTAAAGGTAATTAAAATGTTATAAAACTCTAAAATGTGGTTTTAATTACAAATTTTATTTAAGATTTTGGCATCCAAATTGCAAATACCTGATTGTATTTGAACTAGCCCAAATTTCTTATTAGAGAATTGAATAGGATTACATCTTTCATGGACTGATATTGTCCTCAGAAATCCTTTTGGGTCATCTGATTCTCTGGGGCTTGGCTAATACTGTTTGAAGACAGAGTTTTTCGTCTGTTCAGGCTACTCTTTTGCTGGTGATTTAACAAGTAATCTCTTCAACACACTTGGTAAATTAACTGAATTCATCTTTATTTTGCTCCAGCTTATTTATTTATGGGAATCCCTATTCTTTAGGTTTTGACTTCCCTCTAAGGGTTAAGTAGTATCTGGTTCCAAATTGAATAAATTTAAAGAAATTCCTGAGGAATTCTTATATTTGGTACTGTCACGATTGATAGATAGAAGAAGAATTGTGGAGAAGAAAAAACAGAAGATCAAGAGGAGAGCAACAATTGCAGATTGGAATTCGGAACGAGACGGAATTGAACACAACTTGAAACTTAAAATTATCAAACTTTAAAATAGGCTTAGTGCAAGTTTATCAGTGATACAACATAAGTAGAATTACTGTCTGTGAAAAAAAGAAGAATACTAGCAGCGAAATATTAAAAAAAAAACAAGTTTACAATGACGGGAAAGGTTAAAGAAAATTTTCTTAAAATTTAATTGTTACAATTTAGGTAAATTTTAAATTTGTTAATCTCATTAAATTAGTAAAGATGTTAATATTTTTGAGTAATTCGTACGGTGAACTGAAGGTCATACAAAAAAGTCAAAATTCTTAATATAAAAATTAAAAAAATCGTATACATCGAGCACAAGTGGTGTACAGTGGTTTATATTTAAAGAAAAAAAAATAAAATGTCAATTATCTTTATTGAAACAAATAAAATTGTGAAGATAAAAGAGAAATTTAAATTAAATTAATTAAAATTGAGGAAAGAAAAAATCTATTTTCTTATACCATAAAAAAAAAATAATAATAAATAAAATAAAACCACTGTAAATAAAAAGATAAAGCAATCATAAAAGTGTGTAAATCAAAATAATTTATAAATATAAAATATAGCAAAAAAAAAAACAACAAAAGATCCAAAAACTGAAAAAAGAAGAAACTTAAAAAAGAGAGTGTAAATTACAACAAATAAAATTTTAAAAATTGTCACCACCGCCATGTCCTCTCTCCTCCTCTGCAGAACCATGGAAGATCTTTCAACGGACTGCAAGTAAGTTTTTATTTGTTTTTGTTGTTATATTAATTAAAGCTAAAATATAATTGATTTATTTTCTTATTTTTTTGTATTTGTTTTAATTTTTTTTTTTAAACAAATATTTTAACAATCTATTAAAATTTGAAAACATATATTAAAATTATATTATCGTTAAAGAAAAATTATTAATAAAAACTATAAAAGTTTCATATTATTTTATTAAAATTTAAGCCTTTTGTTAAACTTTACAAAAATTATTTAAAATAATAATTCAAAGTTTTTCCAAATTTAAAAAATATGCTCTGAAATATATCAAAATTGACAAAAATTTATTAATATTTAAAACAATTTATTAAAATTAAAAAAATATCAAAACTTTCATTAAAACAATAATATTTTCGCTTTTATTTTCTTTAATTTGCATTTTATTTATATGCAATATTATTTTGATTAAACACAAAACTTAATGGTGCCGTAATACGAGTGCTCGGTGTAAAGATTTTTTTTAAAAAGAGTAAGTGTAAAGAAAAGAAT